CAATGCCCAGAACTTCTGGCGAAGGTTCATGTGTGGGGATTGACGCCTTGACATAGTTGGACAGAAAACCTTTTTTGACTTGCGAAGGCATCAAGCCCAATTTCTGGAGTTGCTGGGACTTCAATTTTCTGTTCTCTGTACACAGAATGAAAAATGACCCATGGATTTTGGAAAGGGGTTCTGAGCCGCAGAACTCTTGTCGTACTTTTCTAACCGCCAGGTAGTCAGGAGTGATAGTTGACGCGGACGTTGAATGAAGGCGCTGTTTTCCAAAAGTGGGTTCTGGGTTAAACATCTCATCGCCACCGTCATTCAATAAGGACCAGGGCCAGGACTGTGGGATAGCTTCGTCCATGATCGTAAAGTTGTGGTAGAAGCTCGCTAATCTATATTGCCTGATCGAAAGAATCTTGGTTTTGATGCCGTGTAGAGTGCAGGGCTGATTGCTGGTCGGAACCATGCACTCAAGGGTTTTTTTTTTTTTTTTTCAGCCGAGATTTGCTATGTACAGTACATACGTAGATACGCTGCAGCCTGTGAACAGTTCTAACAACTCCGTCATGGATTCTGAACACATTTCTCTGAACACGACTCTTGGTAATGACGGATTCTAAATCCTGGTTAACTCTAATCTTGCTCTAACTCTGGTGCAGAGGTGGTGGGCTTGATTGATTGGCAGTATTGTAGATTACATGCTCGCAGCATGTACGCAGTAGGAGTAGTGATGTGTCGTTCAAGTATCAGCATCAGTATTAGATATCTCTCTCGAAAACATCGATTTTCTCACATGACGGAAGTCTAGAAGGTTACAATTATTTATTTTTAAAGCTGTTCGATTTCTGGAGCTATCCAACAAGCTTTGTTCCGGAAAGATCTTGGGGTGACGGAACAAAAGGAGCTCTCGGGCTCTATAGAGTCCACTGCTGCGAAATTTTGCCAGACAAGGATGGAGCGTTGGCCTTAACTGTCCTGTATGTCCAGAACAGAAGTTATGCATACCTTGGTACATTGAAGGTGGCCGTGGTCAATTCATATATACGTATGCAATAGTGGAATTTTTCCGCCATACAAAATCGACACATGGCTGTTTCTGTCTTTTGTTTCATAATTCAGAGTCTCCACCCAGCTTAACTAGCTTTTGAACGGCCGTTCTGAACAAGTTAGCCTCAGCTCTCAGGGTGCCCCAGTCTTTTCGTTCCAAGAGATCTCATCGCCTGTCTTAAAATGATCGGCGCTAGAGGAGCAGGAAAATTGGTTTGGGCCATCTGCCAAGCTGACTTGAGGGAGAAGCTGGAAGCTGGGAAGTTGGGCGCTGGGACAGGCTGAAATCCGTCCGTTCGCGGGTTAGTTTCAAGGATCCCGGGTTGATTTGAATTGTGCCCTGAGTTGAGCGCAAGTTGTTACGGCGTAGAGTTAGGAACATGGATTACTTGGTTAGGCACAGGACGCTGGTCCCCCTCCAAACAAACAGCGCCACCGATCGCCCATTGGGTTGGAGGATATAAGCACTGTCCCACGGATGCGGTCAAGGGCTGGAACAATGGCGCTAACTTCGAAGAACCAACGAGATTTTCCCGGTTTCAGGTTTTGAACTGATCTCATTTCTGAAAGGCATTGCGGCTTCAGGCGGTACATCTTCGTTTCTGAGGGGTACTTTGTATTATTCAATTGGAAGGTGTCGTGCGACTCGGTACCTGTCCAACGTTGGACCAAGGTTATTTATTGTATGTAGGCAGGGCTAGAGAAGTGGGCAAACCAGGCAACCAAAGTGAGGAAGAAGACAAAAAAGGTTTATCTGTTCAGATTGCAATGTTGGCCAGCTTGTTTTTCAATTTTTGCTTTTTTGTTTGTATTTTCTCCTCTCTTCTCCCCCGCGCGCCTGGTGGAGTTATTTCTCGCATCCGCTGAAGAAAAAAAATTTTTTTTCTTTGTCAGTGGCAGTAGCGGCAGTGGTTGAGGCATAAACAACCAACCATCAGGCCTCACAGATGTTATCTTTTTCTTTTCTGTACTTTTCTTGTTTCCCATTCCACTTTAGTGAAAATAGGGCCGACCCACTTGCCGCATCTCTGGTTGGTAGATGCTATGAATAGCGCATCGGACTCCATTTAGCCATTTAGAGAGGGTGGACCATTTGGAGCTTTCAGAGCTAAAACTGCTAGCTGGTAGTTCAACTGGGGTGTTACCAACTTAACAGGCGGAATTGGGTTTGAAGCAGCCTTGGGACACGGTAAGGGGATAAAGTTATTTCTGCTTGGCCATGCGCCTCGATAGGTTGGGGCTCAGCACTAAACATCCATAGCGAATGGGTATTTTTTATTTTTTTTTGCTAATCTGGAGCTAGCTGGCTAAGA